CCAAGATGTGAAATTTCCCAAAAAGTCACTAACGATTTGCTTACCTTAATTTCAAAATGTGAAATTTTCTAAAAAAAATAAGAAAAAGAAAGGAAAATGATAAATTTTCACTAATGATTTGCTTATCTTAATTCCAAGATGAGAAATTTCCTAAAAAATATAAGAAAAAAGAAAAGGAAAATGGTAAATTTTTACACTAACGATTTGCTTACCTTAATTTTAAGATGTGAAATTTCCTAAAAAAATGAGAAAAAAGTAAAAGAAAATGGTAAATTTTCATCCAAAAGTCATCAATGATTTGCTTACCTTAATTCCAAAATGAGAAATACCTAAAAAAAAATAAGAAAAAGAAAATAAAATGGTAAATTTTCACCAAAAAATCATCAATAATTGATTTATTTACATTAATCCAAGATAAAAAATTTCTTAAAAAAATGAGAAAAAGAAAGAAAAATGGTAAAATTTCACCTAAAAAGTCACTAACTATTTGCTTATCTTAAAACATTTCCTAAAAAAAAAAAAAAAAAAAAAAGGAAAATGTAATTTTCACCTAAAAAGTTACCAATAATTTGCTTACCTTAAGAAATTCCCTAAAAAAATAAGAAAAAGAGGGAAAATCTACCTAAAAGTCACTTCTAATTTACATTTCTTATTTTCAAAAATGAGAAATTTTTTAAAAAAACAGGAAATCTAGAACAAAAAATCCGCCTAAAACTTGCTTTCGATTTACTTATCTTATTTTCAAATGAGAATTTTCCTACAAAAACAAGAAAAAAGAAAGGAAAATCTACCCAAAAACTTGTTTCTGATTTACTTATTTTAAAATAAAAATTTTCTAAAAAAAAACAAGAAAAAATATGGAAAATAGTAAATTTTTACCTAAAGAATGATTTACCATATTTCCAAAATAAGAATTTTCCTAAAAAAAATGGTAAAAATCTTTAAGATAAGAAAAAAAATACAGAAAAAAGAAAGGAAAAAGGTTAAAAAAAAGGAAAATTTTTTTTCAGATTAATCCGAAAGTTTTCTAGCTAATTGGATGATTTTTATATTGTCTAATTGAAACATCATTTCTATTGAATGATTTGTATCATCCCTTAGAAAACGATGATTTGATCATTCCATTCAGATCATCCAATTAGAATGATAATGTTAATTTGAATGATAGTGTATCATCCTAAAAGGATGATAGATTGATCGTTCTAATCAAATGATTTTGCATTATCCGATTGGAATGATGTTGAATCGTTCAAATCGAATGATCATCATTCCAAAAGGAATGATATTGAATTGTTTTTATAGAATGATAATTGTTCCAAAAGCAACGATTTTTTATCGTTCAAATCAAATGATGTTGAATCGTTCCAATAGAAATAATTTTTTTATTGTTCAAATCAAACGATCATCATTCCAAAAGGAATGATAATGTATCATCACTTTGGGACGATTTTTTTAAATCGTTAAATAAGAAATCATGATCTATTGTTCCTTTGAGATGATTTTTAAATTGTTTTTAATAAACAATGATTTATCGTCCTAAAGGGATGATTTTTTTGATCATTCGATAAGAAAAATGATGTATCGTCCTAAAAAGACAATTTTTTAAATCGTTCAATAAGAACGATGTTGTATCATCCCAAAAGGATAATTTTTAATCGTTCTTAATGAACGATGATGTATCATCTCTTTGAGACAATTTTTTTGATCGTTCAATAAGAACAATGATCTATCGTCCCAAAAGGATGATTTTTTGATTGTTTAATAAGAACAATGATCTATCATCCCAAAAGGACAATTTTTAATCATTCTTATTAAAACGATAGATTTATCATCCCTTTAGGACAATTATCTTTATTATTTCTTAAAAATGATTTGTATCTTCTCTTAAGGACAATTACTATTGTTCCTTTGGGACGAAAATTCCAATTGGACGAATTTTTGCATTATTTGATTGAACCAATCGGAATTGAAATTTTGGCTTAACTCCAATCGATCATAAATCAGACAGGTTGATTTAGGTTGATTTTTGGCTGATTGATAATTATGTCTGATTAACAGATGATTGATAGATGATTTATCACATGTCCGATTTTTTTGATTTTGACTAGTAAGAAAGAACTTTGAAAGCTAAACTTCATGTCAAAACATAGATGCTTTATAAGAAATATTTTTTTGGGATAAAAAAATTAGTAATAACTAAAGAATATATTTTTATTAATTAAAGTTTTTATATTGCTAAAATAGAAAGATACAAAATGGTTGATTATAAGGATATAGAACTTGCGTAAGTTAGAATTATAAAAACAGTATTGTGAAAAGTAGAAAATATGGTAATCTTATGAAAAATTATGGAGATTATCTAAAGAAATTGCAATCTGAATAACTATATTAAGACACTTGCAGTAAAAATGGAAGAAGTATATACTGAAAGGCTAGAAAATTATCGTAAAAGGTATGAAGATAATGATCTATATAGCAGTTTAGAGAAATTATATGAACTTTATTATCAAATAACTAGGAAGGAGAATTGCAAAAGATCAGATGAAGAAATAGAACAGATGCTCAAAGTAATGGCAATCTAGTGAACAGCATATATATACAAATAGGAAGACTAAAGATGGTAGCCTTTATTAATATGTTGCAACATATTACTGTTATAATATATGTTGCAACATAGTTGCAACTTTTGAAAAAATTTATTAATTTATTGCAATATGTATTAATTTATTGATTGATTGCAGATCATTATTATACAACATATTTCTTGTGAATTTTTTGTCTTAGAATTATTTTTTTTTTAAAAAAAAAAAGAAAAAAAGAAAAAAAACTCACCTTTTTGTAGGTTCTGAAGTTATTTGAGCCTTGAAATCAGAAGTACGTTTCTATGGAGGAGGGGAGGATATAAGAAATTTTTTTAAAAAAAAATAAAGTAAAAAGAAACTAACTAATACTTACCTTTTTATAGGATCCCAGATTCTTCAAGCATTAGAATTGAAGGTAATTTCCTATGGAGGGTAGGTGGATGCGTTAAAATAGTTTTTAAAAAAATGAAACATAAAAAATAAACTAACTATGCTTATCTTTTTTATAGGTTTTGGAGTTCTTCAAGCCTTGGAATCAGAGGTAAGTTCATATAGAGGGAAGGGAGGATTTAAGAAATTTTTTTTAAAAAAAATAAAAAAAAAGAACTAATACTTACATTTTTGTAAAATTCCAGAGTTTTTCAAGCCTTAGAATCATTAAAGGTATGTTCCTATAAAGGAAGAGGAGGGTATGAGAATTTTTTAATCACAACAATCAGTTCTAAATTAAATAATATAGATATATTTAAATTTTCCTTGTCAGTATTATTATTTAATATTTTTGGATCATTTAGATTTGATAAAATGATTGCTTCATCATCTTCAACTAGTTCTTCATATGATTCACTTAATGATTCTTGAACTAATTCTATAATATTATTTTCTGATATATTTGGTTGATAATATTGTAATTCATCTTTAATATTTGTAATATAATATCTATGAATCTTTGATAAAAATTCAATTGTAATAACTGACATTCTTGTTTTTCTTTTTCCATACATCTATCCAATTGTTGACCAATTCTTTTACAACTCACAGCATTAGGAGTAATTGAAAAAATTTTAATTACAAGTGTTTGAAGATGATTATAATGAGAAAAATATGTATTCCACCTTTTTAATGGTGTATCATTATCTTTGATATAAGGTGTATTATATAGAAGTTCTTTCAGTTTGTAATCTCTTAATTAGGAGATCAATTCAAAACATGATTTTTTGTTATTTCTAAATTCTTTTCAAATATTTCCAGCCAATATAACGATTTCATTAAATTGTTTATCAGGTATACCAGCATCTAATTATAAAAATTAATTAATATAAAACTATAATATTATAAATAATAAAATTATTATTTTGTATTTACCTTTAAATTAAGAATGCAAAAAAAATGCAAATAAATATAACTCGCCATTAAAATCATCAAATCTAAAATATAAAAAAAATTAATAAATAAAAATTTAATTAATTTAATAAAATTAAATAAAAATCAAATAAATATAATTACCTTTTATTGTATTTTTTAATACAAAATTTTTAAAGAAAAAATAATCTGAAGTAGATATTTTTCAAATGCTATTCCAATTCTTAATAATTTAATGTAACAATCGACCAGATTAGAAGTATTACTTTCTAAATATAAAATTGCTTTTTTGATAGGTTCTAATATATTTGAAATTACTTCAACATCATTAAAAAATCCACGTTTGTTCATGATTATTTTAACAACTTCACTAGCAATTTAATTTAAATAAATATAATTATAAAAAAATAACAATAAATAATTAAATTATATTACTTACTTCAATTAAACAATTTTTAAGGTAAAGTATAGAATTACTACATTCTGCCATTGTTATTTAACGCATTTTTACAAAGGTTTTTATTTTACCACCTAATATATTATGTTTAGTAGGGTTCCTCAAAATTGAATCGAATCAAATATTTAAGCAATTTGAATTTGATTTGATTTTTTCAAATCGAA